CAAAGTTCGTACGAGCCGGCTGCACGTGGTAACGGTTTTCAACTTTCCGGGCCGAGTAACACGCAACGAGAAGAACCGTAAATATCAAACACGTTCAGCTCAAGTATCTTGCGCAAAAATTATTTCTTAATTAACCCTTCACTGACTGAAACAATTCATCTCAGTGACTGCGGAACTATGCTTATCTGGTTTATGAGCGAAGCTTTGTGTAGCAATTGCGAGCGAAGCTTTAGGAAGGTAGAAATTGTTCCGTTAGGTGAAGAGCAAAAAAATTAAAACGTACACTCACGATTAATATTTGTATACTTGTATCTCGTCCTGCTTTATCTTCTTCGAAGGAAGAACGTGGCCAGATCCGAAATCACCAAGAACACATAAATCCACGTCTTCACACTATGACCGTGTTTGGTTTGACGCAAATTCCACAAGTAGTCATGAATATTGATTACAAACTAGAACCAAAAGAACAAAACATCGCCGCATATTTTCACGACTTGGATTTTAATTCTTATACAAAACTTTTGTATCACTTCAAAAAAATTGATTTCCCTCCAGGTCTTTGCATTTTTAGGCTTTACTAAGACAATAACACTTGAAGTTAAATACATTTGTAAAGACACGGCCGTTATATTTCGTTAAATAAACCTTTTCTGATAATCGTATTGGTCGACTTTTGCAGGTTTTTAAATATCCTGTGTAAATTAAGACCTGGTGGCCTACGAATTAAAGCTTACAATTAGGTACAAGCTAGAAATAATTAGAAAAAGAAGGCACTACTTTAATCAAACCGTTCTTTGACGTTTGCTAAATGTTTGACTTTATCACTTTTAATTGAAGTCATTTAATGAAGGGCATTAAAACAAAATCGAGGTATTTCCGTTAAAAATCATGGGTTCCCTGGTGGGTTCCCACCTATGTACCCCTTACATTCACAAACTCACGGGCTTTTAATCATTCTTTCACCGTGCACTATCTTGCGTATTTCCTCTTGCCTTTCTCTTTCCGTTTCTCCTTCTAATCCCCGCGCTTTCCGTCACACGCAAAGAAGAAATCTAGGGAGAGTCTTATATCGTAGCCGCTTGTAAAACTGTTACTAAAAACAATGACTTCCCCCCTTTTGTTCTGTCGCTGTTAAAAGTCTAACCATTCCCCTCCCTTGAGCCGTCTGTTCCCTCTTTCCTCCGCAGAAGTTCGACACGTTCCTCATAGAAATCCTTGCGCCAGCATTCATATATCTCAGCGGATTCTCCCCAGAGGAGAGAGGCCTGTTCCTCTTAGCTGGCTGGGTGGCTCTGGTAAAATTGATATAACTGGCTAGTTTTTTTGACTAAGATAATTACTAATTCAACGCCAATTTCCTTCCAGAAAGAACCCTTTGGTTGATCTCTAACTGATGCCCGTCGATTACAGCAGCTACAGAGAATTAAGTGTAGAATTCTGACCAGGAAGTGGCAACAAATGTTCGGAAGACTCAATGAATTTCTCTCCATAGGAGTTTGAAACTTCCTTAATATGTTTTGGCACTGTAACCGAACAGTTTTCGTAAGATTTACACAGTGTTGTCTTCTAGAAGGAAACCAGCACGGAACTATCGAAAATTTTGTAATTGTCTTTGCTCGCGCCATTACTATAGCCACGTCGAAAGCTCGTGCTGGTTCTGTTTGTATCGAGCTTTGGAAGTGGGGCGTTAAGTGTGCGCTATCTTGTAAGGTGTTTCTAAAACAACATATTTTGGGTGTGTTCCTTTGGGGAGCCTTGGATCAGGAGTAGGATCAGTGATCCAAGATAACTCAGATCATGGTACATCAAAGGCATCGATGAATCCACTCTGGTCACGGAATCATCGGCTGCTTTGATACACCATGTTGGATCCCTCATCCTGATCCCGATCATATCAAAGCCACGCACACGCTTTATGTCATTTTCATTTACTTTTTGCAATCGATCTCATCATCAGGTGTGGGAAACCGAACTTGGTCCGCTTAACAGAGATGAAGGGGTTGAGAGGTAGTCTGCGCATGTGAACACAGACGTATTTCCGGCTGTCGCTTGTGACAGCCGGAAATACTACCCGAGAGGTAGCCGTTTGATATTAGCAACCGGGTGAGAGGTCTATATGGAAGAATCTTGACCTCGGTCGTGATTACATAGCTCGATGTTCTCACCACTTTCGCTCTGCGCTCACGAACTCGAATTCCACCCCACCCCGCCTTGTTAATAAGAACTTAATAAAGCGATCATCCCTTCACGAGATCAGTGACCTCTTTCGTTCTGTCCCAACACGTAGTTTGGCATTGTTTTTATTCTGTTAAAAGGCTACGACTTTTAGGTTCGGCCTCTTTCGAAGACAAAAGAGAAGAGTGTTACTGCTTGGCTAAATTGAAGAGTGTTCGTAAACACAAGGAAATTTCTTGTACCATCGATAAGGCATTGACGTCACTTTTACAATAATCTCAACAAATTAAGCACTTGAACTACCTCGTTACCAGGCTCTCTCTCCTTTGCCTCTCTTGTCCTCAACAACTCAACTACATGGGAGCCAAAGGAGAAAGAGCCTGGGATCGAGGTTGACATTTCAATGGACTTTTTGGTTTAGCCAAAACAACGGCAAACTTTCTTTTGTAATTGCTTTTAATGTTTCCTATCGCACACAGCTTGAAAGTCTTCTTTTCCTTTACATAAACATAAATAGTGTAAAATAGTCATCTTTGTTAAACTAGTAAAATAGTCATTTCGCAACTTATTTTACTTCAAAACGATTTCATTTGAATCAGTTGGTAAATTAATTATAGAAACTTACACACAACCGATAAAGACCGAAGACCGTCAAAGGTTCATTTTACAATCGTAGGGCGAAAAAATTCTGCTCTTCTTAAAGATATTTTTCTTCAACTCTAGGAATGGCTGTTTTTTAAGACAAATGCAAAGACGTGAGTTGTATTCTTAAAGGACTATTTACACCATTTCAATTTAATAATTTTTGGCTAAAACATATTTATCATTTATATCTCTATTAGCATGTTATCGTATAATAAACGTGTTGAGCAACGACGTTAATTTTTACTCGAGATACGCCGTTCTATAAATACAAGAAAGACGAAAGACGTTCTTTTCTTGTGGTAGAGTTTATGTTTGTACGTGAACTTGCAACTATTTATTCCTATATGTCTTATAATCATGCTTGCGTTGGTACGCCTACATCTGTGTTTAAGCTAATCATGTGAGTCACGACTTCATTAGAATTGTGACAAATCTAACCCAGGTGACAAAAACTGGGCCCAATTTTCAACTCAGAATTTATAAATACAAGAAAACACCAATTTTTTTTTTTCGTACAAATTCCTTTTCCGAATTTTAAAAATATTTTTCATTTAAATATACAATTATAAATTCTAAAACGACTGCTATAGCTCAGTGATGGGTGTTTTTCTGGAGGATCCTTGGGACAATCTGAAAAGTTCGTCTTTTATAGATTTGATGAGAGGTTGTGGCGATTGTCCTAACGATGCTCCCCGCTGGTCAAGAGTACCGCTGGCTGACATGTTTAACACTGTGTCGTGAGGTGGCGCGGCTTGAAGATGAGACAGAAAACTGGTGTCCTTCGGAGGACTGGTGCTTAGAGCTCCTGGATAACTTGCCTAAAAAAGAACAGAAGAAAAGAAACATTATGCAAATTGTAAGGTAAGGAAGCGACTTGGAGTGTGCTACTCCTCCCTGGATGGGATGCTAGCCCATCACAGGGTTACCCCACCACCCCTCCCTCCCTTAGAGCCACTGTGAGAGCCACTGTGGTTAGAGCCACTGCGAGAGTAAAGTGTCTTGCCCAAGAATTGCAACGACGACATGCTTGCCTATCTTACAAGGTACGTGAACAAAATCATTGGTGTATAGTCACAACATTCCCGAATTTCCCTTTTCTTGTGAAAGTTGGTAATTCATAGGAGTTCATAACAAGAAGAGTCCACCTTCATCTGGGTTCTGGCTCAACAAATTCGTTAGCAGGTTATTTATAGAACGACATTTCGCTGGCGTTAGAGGGGCGAGTTGCAGAGTGGATCGTGAAAGTCAAGAGGTGCGCTTGAACTTACTTGAGCCAAATCAGGGTAAAGAGTATCCATGGAGTCTTCAGCAGCATACGGGCTCCAGACCAGGCCACCCTGAAATAACGCAACAGCAACATTAAAATTAAAACTCGCGGAGATTGCAACAAAACAGGACCTTCGACAACACCACAGATCCTGCAAGGAGTGGTATAACACATTAAAGCTTACCAAACTTCAACTTCTAATTTTTCCCACTGATTGTAAAACACTTATTTAACTCAAGTTCGCAGATTTTCGAGGTACACGTCACTTTCATCATTGTTTTCATCAAACTGCTCTCTGTTACTAGGTGAAAGTTTATAGAACTGTCCATCAACTACTTTAGATTGACAGGCTTTTATATAAACATGGTATAGCTACACCAAGAGTACCATTCTGAACACAAAATACTACGGTTATCACATGCATTAAATCGTCTCTCTTCTATTTTCTGACTTAGTTTAAAAGAAGCCAATTAGTTTCACCTCCACTTTGATTGATTTTATTTCTATCAGCAATCATTAATTTAGTCTCGTAAATGCTGGCGGTTTGGCGGAGTTGATGTCTAGGGGGGCGGGGGGCGGAGGGCAAAATGGTAAAGCTCTAACCGTCAGCTTTGTGACCTTCGCCGCGGAGTTCTTTACCTTAACGAGCTTCAAATTGATAAATAGCAAAATGATATTACTTCGAAAGGGGAAAAGACTTAAAATTAACGTCACTTTCAAGAATCGTTGCCTTTGGAATTTTGCAGGTGTGTTTGTTAAGCTACTGGGCCGTTCCTTACCATATCATCTCTTTGCTGTTGTACCGGTGTTATATATACATTCTGACCACTGGGATCTTTGTACGAATACGTTGGAGGTGGCGCCCGCTGGTTTAAAATCCTGTAGATACAAGAAAACAGATGACGATCAGCATGGAATTGAGCTTGACCTCGCTGTAACCAAATGTTTATTTACCCTCTACACATAGGAATCAGTTAAGCACGCTAAGATTCGATAACAATGCAGTCTCACCGTTGTCTGTCTGCTGGATCCCAGACCACAATCGGATCACGCGTGACAATCGGTCTCGCAGGGGGACGGCCTGGGTAACCTGGCATGCCTAAAGGAGTTTGAGGCATTCCTACTGGGTAGCCAGGCATTGTCGGCTGAACGCGCCTGCGTTGTCGTGGTGTTGGTTCAGTAGCTCGGCCATGCGCCGGGGGTGGTTCTGGCAAGGCAGGCTGACCTCCAATGTACCTAATGGAAAGCGTTTGATTGGATTAAATATCACTCATTATCAAGCCAAGTGTCTCTAGCAATCAAAGGCGATTGGCTTAGTACGAGCTTTCAAGGTTGAGGAAGTTCTTTTCAATTGTCAGGTATTGTTCATGTATACCAATGCTCGGTTGCCTTGTTAACGATTTGTACACAAAATAACACCTGGAGTGTGGAGTGTGGAGTGTGGAAAACGTTTCTGAAGCTTTTTTGACACTCGCATAGGAGGTTGCCTGCGAACACATTTGGCATCGACAAAATCGTTCCATGACCAAAGGCCTCACCTTGGAATAACGGCCTGCCGAACAGGAGTCGTAGGGTATCCCTCGGGATGCGCCTCGGGATGCGCCGCGGGATACGGTGCGGGTTGTCCCTCGGGTTCTTTGTCAAATTTCTTTGAGAATTGTGGTCCAAACAAGGAGAACGCGTCATCTAGCATTGCATGCATTCGTCGACGTGTTTCATCCATGTCAATTTCGGATTCGTCGCTGGAAGCGTTGGAAACCGTATCAGATTTATCGCGTTTCTTGTCACGGTCCTGAAATGTAACACAACATCTTTCAGCTAAAATAGACTCAAAAAGCTGCTTCGTGATTATTTTCCATCCTCTGGTTACGAAAGCTGTGCGAACCGATCAAATCTATTTACGCATTATTGAAATATCTACGATCTTGACGCTAAATCAAGATTGAAACTGAGCAAAAAATTCACTTTCTCCGCTCTGCGGCTCAACTTCGATTATGATAGGACGTGAAAAATGAAAACTGTAACACCACACATTACACGCCCAAAAAGTCGACAGTTTTCAAACTATATCGCGACGACTTCTATCTTAGTTTGATGCAAACAAAGAAAAAAACTGGGAAACAGGGGTTACTCTGGAATGGGACAACTCCTGGCTTTTATTGGTTAGTTTACTTTTATCGAAATGATCGTAGTTCCTACCCGTGTGCTAGTTGAAGACGCGGTTTTTGGACTCTTGAGTTTACGATAGCTCTTGAGGTGTGGCACTCCTTCTTCGTCTGTAGCCACGGAGCTGCTTGGAGGACGCCTTCTTCGGGGCTTTCGCTTCTTCCCTCTACAAAAGAAAATAGTTTCTTTATATAGAATAACATTCTTTAAACTGGGCCATAAAGTAATGTTAAGACACAATGAGAGAGAACAGAACCTGTAGACCCCCCACCCCATCCCCTCCCTGAAAGGTGGCAAGTGGAAGGGAGCTCATTTTGGCCACGGTTTTGGATCTGCAAATGATTAACAGAGAAAAAAGTTTTGTTTCTAGTTAAGCACGATGCGCTGGCTTTTTTCCTTTTTAAAATAACTATGCACCTCAACAGAGTGCAAAAACACAGCGAGCTTACTCAGGTAAGACACTCAAAAGAAAATTGCTCGGGGGCAGAAAGGAATCAAATAAATCTACTCACGTAATCACTCGCTCAGCATCTTCCTCTTCGAGAACATCGTCAAAATCGTGCTGAGCTCTGCGCCAGGCTCTCCTTTCGGCTGGAACAGGATAACCTAGGCGGTGAGAAGCATTGCGCTTTCTGTCACGCAGTCGCTGTTTATTCTTCTGTCGTTCAAGGTCCGCTCTCTGCTCCAACTCTCTCTTTGTAGCTTTTCCTTTTCTCCGGCCTCGTGTTGAGTCATCTTCAGAAGGTGGCTACGCATGGAAATAGCAAATTAACACAAGAAAAAACTAAGCAGGAGATTGCAGTGTTTCTCGCAATGAATTTCGCCTTAATATTATAGGGCCACGCCCTTGGTAGCAACTTCTGTGAAGTTCGTAGTACTAGTAGTTAGAGCAATATTTAAATCTTCTTTAAAGCATCAAGACATTACCAAGCATAAAGGCAATGAGAAAAAGGAAAATCGTCAACTAGTAAGATATATTCAACAATTTCTCAAGACGACAATGAAGTAGAAAAACTAAAAGTATTACTTCACGTTACAATAAAGGGGTATCAACATAATAATACTTTACCTCTACTTTCACTCCAACGAGAGATGTCTGCTTCGCATTTAAGGGGGGTAGGCTTGGCGCTGGATGCACCGATGAGCGGAACCGCACAGGGGGGTACCGTGGGGGACCACTAGCCTCGCTCATAACAGCAACAGTGGGCACTTGAGCTGCTGAATGTCTAGTCTGAAAGAGACAGACAAGAAGGAGGTTAATATCTTAAGATTAGGTGAGACGACGGTCACTTTCGCATTGATTGGTCACCATGGTTTCGAGGCTGCAATTTTGATAACTTCAGTTTTCTTGACGGTATGCTAAGCCACTTGGCCTACAAAACGCTGTTTTGTGTTGTGCCTTTGATTTTTTTTCTCCGAGATACTTCGTTTCTAATCAATACCTGTTCAGGTCGTGGTATACTTTCGGGTTCAGACTCGGATTCGCCCTCGGAGAGCTCACTGTCTTCTTCGCTGTCAAGTTCGGACGGCTCCACAGGTCTTTGTGGCTTGGCAGGAGTCTTCCTAGAGGCTGCTGGTGGTTTTGCAGTGATTCTCTCCCTTGTTAACGCCTCTGTACTTCTCGGAGGAGTGACAGATACCACGCTTTCGTCCTCGTCTCCTTCTTCCTCTTCTTCTTCTTCATCGTATGCGGGATTTTCCCTGGCACGAAAAATAAGAAATCGACGCCACTAAAGGAAATATTTTCCAGAATATCACACAGTCACACAACCTATATGGCCCTGCAGTAATATATGGTTTGTTTGAAGCAATATCCGAATTAAGAACCGCGAGATATAGCCTTTAGGTAGCTATGAATTCTCAACTAAGAGCGCACAGTCTATCTCTTGATATCACCAAAAAAATCTGTGAAACTACATTGAAAATACCTAAGCTCTCTCACGGGTGATATTTGCCTGTGCGCGTACTTCCTTAAAACTTCTGGCAAACGATTGGTCGATAAACAGCGCTTCTGAGGCCAATAACGGATAACAGAATAACTTATCAAATAACACGACTCGCACCCGCCAATGGTAAATAGCCACTGCAGTGTTATTTTTGGATATTTTTGACCCAGATACTACATGTAATTCCAACTGTTCTACTTACTGTCTCTGTTCTCTGACGGGAGGTTTCTGTATTGGTCTCTTTTGAACCTTCCTTCGCAGTGATGTCTCGCGCTTCACTGGTAAAGGAGCTGCTTCTTCATCATCATTAACGGAGGGAGGGGATCTGGACATGAAAGCTGTTGTCTTCGTACCTGACACTCCTGGCTCGGTGTAGCGAGCTACGTCAAACCCTTGAACCGGCTGAAAAGCAAGAAAAAAACCTCAAAAACTGCTTACCAACGTATTACATTAGCCCACTTCCGAGTTGCCTTAGGCCTCTCTATCAAACCGAGGCCTGGTGCACAACCATTCATATAAAAATGAGTTTCATTTGCAACTGAATGAAATCTCATTTTCATATGAAAGGATGGGCACCAAGACTCGCTTTAAGAAAGAGGCTAAAGGTAATTCGGAAATGACCTATTCAACGTGTATTCTTGAAACGAATGTTCTTTTTGGTGCTGGGGGGTGGGGGGTGGCAAGTCTCTGCAAAATGACTGCAAGTTCAATTAACATGGTGACGTAAATTGATTGTCAATATAGCATCTCTGTAATGATGAAACGTCATCTTCGTAGTCATATTCGTTGTAAATAAATCTGTTGCGAGGCGTGTGTTGAAGGTTTGTGCACTTACCTTTCTCTTGTTAGTTTCCAACATTCTAATCGTGTCTGGCTCGACCTTAGATTTCGGAGCACCTTTCTTCCATCGCCACCAAATCAGCAATATGATAACGATGATGAGTATGATCGGGCCGATAACCGCTGGAATAATCCACCACTTGATCGGCGTTGCAGCAACAGTTGGCGTCAATTCTGTCGGAACTGTTGGCACGAATGCTTGTCTTGGCGCGGAAAGAACCTGCAAAATAGGTGCCTTAGATTAGATTTACAGTTCGGACAAAAATATAAAGTCGTAATTACATTTCTGCATCGAAACTGCAAGGTTGACTAGAGCGAGTCAACTTTCGTATACAAAATGTCATTTGATATGCAAAATTACATCGAATTCCAGCGAAATAGAAAAATAGTTTTTTACAAAGATAGCAAAACACCAAAGAGGTAACAAAGTAAAAAATCGGAATAACGATGGTTAAGAGGATTGAAAAGGATTACAAAAGAACTTCTAATTTTTTCAGGATACGCCATTCGTCGCGTTACTTCTTTCTCTTTATTGTTTGAAAACGTTTTCTAACTTCTTGGCCTTAAGAGAACCTTAATTCTTTGAAAACATGTAGTTCTTTAGCCGTTGATGTGCATGGTCGGGAACATAACCTATTGGCCCATAGTAGAGATTTGACTGTAGCTGACTATAGAGTAAATCTTACCGCGTAAGGACTGGTAACTGTGGTCATTTCACTGGTGCTGAGTCGATTCATAATCGATACCACATAACTGGCATTCGCCACTTTTCCTGCATCATACACGAAGAAGGTAACGTCAGCCTCCGACACGCTAGAGTCTGTTTTTCTGACAATGTCCTCAATCTGGCGAGAAAAAAGAATTGATATCAGGCGACTGTACTTTGAACTCTTTGGCAAGAGGTCAAGTCATTATGCCTTTACTGATGACAAAATACCGTTAAACTTAACATGACCCGCCTAGATTAGCTCAGCTATCCGCGGGCATGTTATAATTGTAATTTTAATTTGATAACAAATAAAATGTATGTATGTATGTATGTATG